AGGTTCCTTCCCCCTGCTGGCACAGAGCCGTCCCCAGACCCCTTTTCAGACGCCAGCAGCAGACCCAGGTACACGCAGCCATTCTGTGGCATTCCCGTTTCAGTATCTCACGAGGAGCATTACAAGCACAATCCTGCTTTACAAAAAACACCAGCTTCTCAACGGTGCATTGCTGCTGCTGTAGGAGTTATTAACCATCTCGTGAATTCTTTCACTAGAGGTAATGAGCATTTGAGGACAGACACAAACCCACTCAGTTCAAGCTCACAATTTTCCAAATATTTTGATCAAGTACTTAGCAGGTTGTCTTATGCCCTTTCTCTCCCTCTTATCCCATGGAATTTTAACAGTAAATCAGTGATACAACCACATCGGGCTCCAGCGTCTCCACCAAAGCGGACCTTCCCTGCAGCAGATCCAGTGGCTCTTTGCTCTGATACTGGCAAGGCCAGCGCTGGGACGTGACACTGCTCGTGGTGACTTACGGGGCGTTTGTCCTACACATCCAGATAAAATCATTTTCCTTAACTACACCCAATGCCATGCCAAGTGTACAGGAGAGCCAGCATTTGTGAGCAGGCTGTCTGAAGAGCCTTTGCTTCATGGTGGAAATACAGTCTTTGGATGGACACGAGAAGAATGGCTAGTTGTGGGGTGTTTTTGCCCCCAAGAGTATTTTTTGGGCCACATTCAAGTCCATAACCACATCTGGGCCAGCTGTGCTGCTGTCTTCCATGCGAGAAGCAACGGGCTGCTAGAGTCCAGCCCCCCAGACTGCTGCAGTCCCTCTAGCCAGCTTTGACCCATTTTGCTCCCCAGGTTTCCAGCCCCAGCCTCTCCCTCTGAGGACGCCCACCGCACGGCACCTTCACGCTCTGCCGACAGCAGGGCAGCCCCTGGCAGCGCACCGCCCACACTAGGCTACCTCACTCAGCCAGTGTTCAGTTGTAAGACGAGTGTTCTTCCCCAAAATACATAAACAGTGGCAAGTTATGGGAAAATTTACTTTTCTACTGTCTTGTCCTAAAAGGTTTGTTTAATGAACGAGCTCAAGTACATGCTTAACTACAGCAGTTTTCACATCTGATGTGCTCACAAAATAAATGACATTTCTGTTTATGCTCTAATGCCATGTGGTTACAAGAGGTTTTAGCGAGAAGCAAAATGTCATCAGTTCACATAATTTATTATCCAAAGAGGATGTGAGCAATATCCTTATTACCAAATATCCTAGGGATTTTTAGTTCTCTAGGCTGGGATAAAAGCTTTCTAAACATTAAGATGCACTTTCACTTGAATTCAAAGATGCATACATTTTAAAAAAGATTTAAGATTAGATTACAAATGAGCACAAGACTGTTCAACACCCTTTGAACCCTGCTAAAAATGAAATCACAAAACTCAAAGTACTGTTATAAAATCACAGCACTTATTTTCAAAATATCTATAATAGCGTTTAAGAAAAAGTTGCCCACCAAGCGTGCAGTTCACACACAGTGTGCCTGCTTTGTATCTGTGCATTTGGCGAGAAGACATTGTACAATTAGAAAAAAATCCAGTTATAGTCGAATAAAGTTAGAGAAATTGGTTTCACATTACACAAAACCTCTGTTTTTCTTTACTGAAAGCTTCCAAAATTAAAATACTCTATTTGGTCAGAATTCAATTTAACAAACCAGAAGCTTACATTCAAATGAATTTGCTGTTTTTAAAACAAATGCAGTGTTCAGGAGAAACCATGCATCCGCTGCCCTGACACCAGCTCTGCTCCCAGCAGGAAGGAGGAACGCAAGCTGGCTTGTGGCCGCCCGCATCCTCAGCGCCCGCCAGGGCCTGCTGCATTAACCCTGTGCAAGTGCTGTGCTCCACGGCACAACCCTTCGTTGTTCATGCTCACAAAGCACAACGGCGAGCACAGAAAGAGTTAATTTTTCAGAAGGTTTCTCAACACTTCAGGTAAAGTAAGCCTGACCCACTCGATTCCCGTACCGCCTTGTGTGGTTAAGACAAACCTGGGAAAAAAAAAGTTGGAAGATACTTGCCTCATACAATAAACAGCCCAAAGACCAGATATCGGATTTAAAGTTATAGCCGTTTTCATGTATTCTTTCTGGGGACATATAGTATGGAGTTCCCACTGTAAAAAACAAACAAACAGAGGAGTTATCGTCTTAAAAGTGACTGCGCAACCTGTATCGTGCAGAAGTTTGACTTCGTTAAAGGGCTAGGTTTAGCACAAATAGCTAATTAGAAGAGCCTGGCACCAAAACTTGGAAACAAACCATGGTTTCGAAGGCCTAGAATCAAATACACCATCACATACAGAGCTGGAGGACTGGCGAACGTTCCTGAAGGCATCTTCCATGTTGTTGAAATCTGAGGAACGTCGTCTTCCCCTTCCCGCCTTCCGAGGGCCCTCAGAGCGTCTCGGCCGGCCGGAGCAATGGCAGCTGATCGCCCACCCTCCTTCGGCTCACCCAGCAGCACGGAGGCTGCACGCCGGACGCCGTGAACACG